TATATATAGTGTTGTGAGTATAGTCTATTTCTCTTTCGCTTCGTTAGTTTTTTACAACTGGGTTTTGACCGCTCCGACGTCTACTCATAATTAATATAACGCAATATCGCTTTTCGAGCATAAAAATAGCGGACGCAAGGCATGGCCATATAAAGGCACGTACAGCACTCAGCACGGGTGCGCCCATACACAGAAACCGCGCCGTGGGTGCATGCATTAAATACTACACTATGTCTCAAATACTACACGCGTGACAAAGAGCGTAGATTGGTTCGGTCGCAAGAGCGAGAGAGAGATAGAGAGAGAGAGAGAGAGAAAGAGGCATGAGAGAAGGGGAGGCGACACTGACGGGCACGCACAATTTCATCAATGTCAACTCTTGATAATGCGCGCACACACGTCTCGAGAGCACTCGAAAACGCGCAACTTAAAACAATGTCACGGCGCTGTGACACGAGTCGGCAGGCTGATTACATTCTATGCGGAGGCGGCTAATTTTGCGCATGCCACGAACATCAAGAGACACGTTCCGCACGGCTGGAGTGTCGAGAGAAAAATGTAATTACGTAAAGCCTCAACTAGCCGCACGGACGCACGCCAACTAACGCGCGCGCGTACACAACGCAAATGATAAAAGATGATCTTGGAAATCAGTAACGTCCGGCCGGGGCATCTATTGTCTATAATGCAATAGGATCGTATGAGTAATCGAATCGTGTGAATTGCACATTCAAGTATATTACAATAATATGAGGGTATTTTCAAAAACATATTTAATCGTGCGGGTCAGTAATGCTTATAAATATAATCATAATTATATTTACTTACTTAATTATTAATTTATTAATTTATTAATTAATTTATATAATAATATCAACCGTGATAAATCCATTTAAAAAAGGTTATTGGTGTGACTGGCTTAGTTGTTTAAATAATTGTTTAATGCTTTGTGTGTGAAACCACACTAAAATTTGTGCAACTTAAACAACACAATATAGCGTCTGTCCGTGTTTCACTCCGCCTCAGTTTGTCGTTTTGTCCATAAAGATGTTATTGAAAACCTCTTCAGCACAACAAGGCAACAGTTAAAATTTAGAAGAAATATAGACAGATACAGCAATACAATCCATTGTGTGATGGCGCGCTGATTAAGTTGCCGCTACACACATTTGCTGGCTATATATAAACATTAGAAAACGCTTATAGCTATCAAAATAAATATTACTTTCAACTTTATTTAATATGACGA